GAACACTCAGCTTTTCTTGAAACAATCTCACATCTTCACGAAGTGTTTACTACTCGAGTCTTCATTGCCGATTCTCGAGGTTACTGGGATCGGATGGCAAATATATTCAGGAGCTTCATTTTCTGGAGAAGGAAGAACAGGTTGTGGTACAATCTTTCTCATGAACAGAATTCCCTTACAACTACTACATCTCATCCAAAACCTTCACAAAGCAAAGAAAGGAAGGAACGCTTCGAAAAATTTTAGAACAGCAAAGCACGAGGATTCCACAATCTGTGATGATGCTCGCCAAAGACGTAGGTAACGGGCTCGATTCATCCAGCTACTTGTTTTGACGCTACTAACTAGTGTTGCTACTGCCTCTTTGTGAGAAGCTCTCTGCTGTGTGGAGTGTTGCCTTAACTGGAATACTGCTCGGTTTGGTAATTTTTTGGTTTCGCAAACTTTCATTGCTCGGTAAGGATGGTATCTACGAGCATATGGGAAACGGTTGACAGATGGATCTATCCTGACAACGCGGAAAACGTCTTGGAGTTGATGGGAATGGCTTACTTGCACGAGAATGCATGGAGATTCACCTGAACTTGAAGTTTCATTCGTTTCCAAGCGCACAGGATCGTGTCAGCTAAAACCGGTCTGGAGAGCTATCGGCTACTTGACACTTAACACCGACAAGTTTATCTTCCTGGATCATGGACGAAGGACACGAGCGAGTCTAAAGTTCGTCAGAGTGTAAGTTTGCTTTCCAGTGCCTACAGGAAGTCCCGAGAACAGCGCTTTCTTCTGGTTCAATCGCCACTGGAGAACGTACCTTGAATAAAAGAAAACACTCGTCTACCAAGATAAGTCCAAGAGCGTGGCGCTCAAAGATGGCCGTGACCACAGGATATAACTCTGCAAGGCCTTCTTTGCGAGCTCGTGATCCAGACCACGGTCGTTGTTTTCAGCATTCTAATGCACCCTTTCCTGGGTTCTCTCCTCTTTTCCCTTGTTTTAAAGCAAGAAAGGTGAAACCCTATCGCCGTTTAGGCTAGGTCAAGGTGAGGGTAGTCATGGATTGGATCCCAGTTGAGGAGGTGCTCAAGCGCTTGCCAGCAGTTGCTTTGTGGCGCGCGAGAGCCGTGTGCAAGAAATGGAAGGATCTCATAGAGACACCGGGATTTGCTGCTCTTCACTACACACAACACTTGAATCGTAGTCCTCCTCATGTTTTGGGTCAAGATCTGGATAGTGAAGGGCCTCTTTTCAGATGCAATCCCTTTACGGGGCAAGAAGCAAGTGATTGGGTTCTCATGGAGCATAACATGGATCGTGTTTTGAACTCTAGCGGTGGTTTGATACTTGGGATGAGAGGAAAAGATTTTATGGTCTGGAATCCTCTCACTGGAGCATCTAAGATGCTCCCACCACTTTATTTGGATGGTGAACCATGTTCTAAGGAGACTGCAATGGGGATGGACTTCTCTGGAGAGCGTTATTGGGCCTGTGTACTTAGGGACATGGAGCAGGGAGTCATGATTTATGTATATGATTCAGGAAAAACAGGATTGTGGAACGAAGTTTTGGTGCCTAGTGAAACGTTATTCGATACAATTTTCAGGGATAACAAATTATATATATATTGCATAGGGTTTTCAGGGGATGTTGAGGTGTGGTGCCTCAATTTATGTGATAGCAACTTATCTAATCTTGTGACAACACGGGCACAGGACCATCGTGGCTATCGTATGACAGATGAATATTTTTACTTTGATACCCTTGTAGTAACAGCAAAATCTTTATTTGTGACAACTTCAACCAAGTTTAGATGTTATTTATTGAAGCTGGATTCTACAGGTTTTGTTGAAGAAACTACTCATCAATGGAACAATATTGTGGAACCTGTATGTATGGCTTATAACAGCATACTTCTGATTGCACATCCAGATTTTTTGGCTTTGTACAACTACCAAACAAAAACATGGAGAAGAAATGATATTCAAAGGGTTTGTAGTGGGTTTCAAAATATATTTGGGTTTGTGCTAGGATTATGCCATGTTTGATTTCGGCATGATTTTCAAGAACTTAAATCCATTCTAGTTTGGAAGTTTTTGGTTAAGCAAAGGACATTCAGGAGAATAATTGTCTCTGGCTCGGAGATGGTGCATGTAGACAGCTTTCCAAATGAAAAAGCAAATGCAATCTAGAAAGAATAATTGTCCTTGGCTTGATCCTTCGTTTTTCTCGAAGGACCAAACTGTTCCCAGTCGCAACATATCACTGCGATAGAGAAGGAAATGCTTTGAGAAGACAAACATAGTTTCGCGACTTTCCCGACGCCAAGATTGGACAGCCATTGCTTTCCGGGCGGTCGGCGCTGTTGGTCACATCCTGACGCCACGGGCGTTCGCGGCGTGCTCTATCAGCGGGCAGAGGCCCCGGTAGCGGTGGCCACCTCCGGCCGGGGCGTAAGGACACTCCACACCGGGGGCGTGCTATTGTTTTGAAAGCCTCTAAGGCTTTGCGACAGACCAAGGCTCACGAGAGCGAGGAAGGAATGGCAAGTGTCGAAAGTTTTTCATAGAGATGTTGCTCTGGCGCTGCACCTTGGCGCTCCAGCCAAGAGCTGATTTTGATTCATCTCAATCGCTAGGGAAACACCAATCACAGCTTGATTTTCAAGGGCCTGCGCTGGAGGATGTGGCAAGCAGTTTGTTATTTTTTTCCAGAGCAGGCACAATGTAAAGCACCTGTGCTCCCGAAGAAGAGCACGGGACTTGGTGGATGCAGTAAGTTCTTCTCTCTCATTTTTTCTTGGATCTTTGAATATTTGACACAGGTTTTGCCACATCCAGATGTCAAAGAGGCCGCTTGCGATACATGGGAGCTTAGATTTACAATCAAGATGGCCCTCACAGGCTCCGCAGAGTTATTCAGAAATTCTTTGAGTTTTATCTTCTATCTAACTGGAGGAGGTGATAAAGTCCAATCTATCTGTCGCAGAGGATGGTACTCTCTCGGCTTTGTTTCTCATACCTTTGCTTTATTCTTTTGTCTAGGGATTATCCAGTGCTGGTTTTTTCTCTCGAAAGTTGACAAACTTGTTTCCTTTTGCAATGGATCCAATCACGAAAAGAATTTTAGTCGATCACGATCTTTGGCTCATTTGAACTTGTGCATGAATGAACTTGAAAATGAACTTGAAGTGGTCGTATCTGTGTTTTATTCTCTAGATGAGTCGAAATCTAAATCCCAAACTTTATCTCTAAGAGCAACAAGCTGAACGCATGCCACGAATGCGAGCCTTTGTGCGTTTCGTGGTCTTTTCGGGTACCATCACATTTTTGGGTAAGCAGAAAAACATTCCTTGCTCAAATGTTTTGGCAGTCTAGGAAATCTATTCAAGATAAAAGTACAAATGCTTCGCCCGGATGACAAAGGATGCCTATCTTTCCCCAGGTAAACTCCTCATACAAGTGCTCATCACCTCATCTCCCTTTTGATTTTTCTTGGAGATGCCCCACACTGCTGATTGATAGAGAACTCAGGCCTTGGGCAGAGCTCCTTGACGAGAAAGGAAGTCTTGTTATCTGTAACGCGCTCTGCTCTGCCTAACACTTTCTATCTCGACTTCCAGGCAAGTCAAACAGGGAAGCTCTCTCTCACTATCTTTTTTATCAGTCTCCTCCATTTTCATTTTCATAGATTGACAAGACCAGCCACACAGCAAAGACTTTTTCATAGACAAACATGATCAGAGCGAACATGTTGTCTGAGTAACCCAGCTCAATCAACTCTAGAAGCCAGAATGTTGTTCGGCTTCATCATCCTCCGTCTGGTAGAGGAGGTTTGATCCCCTCGGAGACCAGATTTTGCCGATTCGGCGTAAACAGCGAGTCGTCTGTCAGCACGAAACTAGGTGGTAGGAAATCAAAGAGACTGCGGAGCAAAAGGAAGTACAAGGAAGTAAAATGCTCGAAAGCGAATTGGCTAGTGATGAAATAAGAATGCCCAGGGAAGCTATCAGAATGCCGCGGTCCAAGCACACATATATGACAATCAGCATAAACACATCACCAAGCAGAACTGGGAAACCCGGAAAAGAATTATCGGAAATAAACACCAAGTAAACATTCAATGCAAACGTTGAGCACAAAGTAGATCAGGGTCGGTCTGGGTCACTCTCCGTGATGAGGGGGTGTGAGCAATGCTATGCTCACGTCCTTGCTCAAGAACAGGAGGAAGAGGCTGGCGAGGGAGACGCGATCCGGGTCTTCGACCGGATGGCGGAGAGAAACAGCGTTTCAAGCAAGAAAAGACAGCAAGGTGAGGCATCGCTTGCCAGTGCGCCATGGCCGAGTTTGCTCTGCCGCTCTTCCGCTGGGCCCGGCCGAGAGCAAGGCCGTCCATCGGTTCATCACGGTTCTTCGCAACGGCGAGAAGTTGGAGGTTGCCAGCGAGCTCAGTGACCTCCCGGAGGTCCAGAGGATGGCCTACTCGGCGACTTACATCGGCTACATCAACTCCAAGAACAACGACGAGGTCCTGGCCAGCGTGGATTCACTCCGCACGGGTCGGCTCTCAACCGGCTGCTCCTCATGCGCTGCGACCGAGAGGACGGGATGAGCGCGAGCACACCGCTCGAGGGAGGCTGCTGGACGCCGGATACAACCAGCTGGGCAACGGGCTGTGCCGGGCGGACAAGCTTGGAGTACACCACGAAGGGACGTTCCACGCTCAGGGACCGCCTGGACGACGCCCTCAAAGTCGCGGACAAGATGTTCTCGGTGCTGGACGTGAGGACTCGGCTCAATACTTTCGTCCACAAGCTGGTGGAGAACTAGCGGTACGACGACGCGATGAGCATCTTCGAGCCGACTTGAAGATCAGCGGTGGTGGCGTAGGTCGACGAGACACGGTGGTTAGCGGAGTGGAGATAAATGTCTTTCATTAATACTTTGGTATTGCAAGCTCTTAACATCACCTTGGCCTTTCTGTTTGATGGATCAACGCATGCCTTTAAATGAAAAATCTCAGAGATTCCTACGGACGTGGAAATCCACAACCAACATGTACTTCCGAGGTACTCTACTCTGAACTTCCGTTGTAGCAGCCTCAAGCTGTTGTTTGCAGCTCGCTAGCATCTATAATGTGGAGGTTTGCAATCGGCTCCCCTTGTCGTAAAGTAAGAAGCAGGACTTTTGTATTTATGGAATATTGCGGAGGTAAAGCCTTTTTCACGTCGAAGAAAATTATTGGAAGTTTGCAAGTTAATCACTTCTGCTTATCTGACAAATTCCTCCAGGACACGGTACTGCGCCTTTTGTTGAAGAGGTTATGACAGAATGACAGAAACATTTGGCGAGGATGACGTGATTATCAGCTCCTGGCCAGGGTACACATTTGTTCTAGTGAATGTAAGGGTGACCAGATTATTATTGATTCTCAATGTTTTTTTAACATATAGGCAGTGGCTTATGCCGTCTTAACAGCATTGGAGACGCACTACACAGATGTCCTGGTGCCAAAGTGATGGTACCAAAGGTCACTTTGTAGAAGCTAGCAAGGCGGAGGTCTCTGACACTATATAGTGTGCCTAACTAACCAGGTAAGTAGTTTAGATCGCAGTCGCGTATTCACTGGCTCGATCCTAATGACTATGAAAACTTCAACAACTCGGAGTTGTTCTCAACACTACATTGCGTCCAAAGCTAGTGATGCAGATGAAAGCAATGCCTTCCTATTGACGGCGCAAGATGCGGCTTAACGAAGTGACGGTTGCATTGCGAAAAAAGGACACTCCAGGCAATTGTGGAAAAGCTAGCAGATATTGTAAGAGGTTTCGTTACTTTCTTTTTTGACATCAGGCGCGGCTCCATCCGAGCAAAGCATTTTGGAATATACAAGAGAAGTCGCTGCAGAACCCGACATGCGAAAACGCATGCAACATCTGAACACTCAGCTTTTCTTGAAACAATCTCACATCTTCACGAAGTGTTTACTACTCGAGTCTTCATTGCCGATTCTCGAGGTTACTGGGATCGGATGGCAAAGGTATTCAGGAGCTTCATTTTCTGGAGAAGGAAGAACAGGATGTGGTACAATCTTTCTCATGAACAGAATTCCTTTGCAACTGCTACATCTCATCCAAAACCTTCACAAAGCAAAGAAAGGAAGGAACGCTTCGAAAAGTTTTTGAACAGCAAAGCACGAGGATTCCACAATCTGTGATGATGCTCTCCAAAGACGTATGTAACGGGCTGGACTCATCCAGCTCTTGTTTTGAGGCTACTAACTAGTGTTGCTACTGCCTCTTTGTGAGAAGCTCTCTGCTGTGTGGAGTGTTGCCTTAACTGGAATACTGCTCTGTTTGGTAATTTTTTGGTTTCGCAAACTTTCATCGCTCGGTTTTTGTGATTAAGGATGGTATCTATGAGCATATGGGAAACGGTTGACAGATGGATCTACGCGGAAAACGTCTTGGAGTTGATGGGAATGGCTTACTTGCACGAGAATGCATGGAGATTCACCTGAACTTGAAGCTTCATTCGTTTCCAAGCGCACAGGATCGTGTCAGCTAAAACCGGTCTGGAGAGCTATCGGCTACTTGACACTTCCATTACCGAGAAGTGTGACGTTTACAGCTGGGAAAAGAAGCTCCAACACCGACAAGTTTATCTTCCTGGATCATGGACGAAGGACACGAGCGAGTCTAAAGTTCGTCGGAGTGTAAGTTTGCTTTCCAGTGCCTACAGGAAGTCCCGAGAACAGCGCTTTCTTCTGGTTCAATCGCCACTGGAGAACGTACCTTGAATAAAAGAAAACACTCGTCTACCAAGATAAGTCCAAGAGCGTGGCGCTCAAAGATGGCCGTGACCACAGGATATAACTCTTTGCAAGCTCGTGATCCAGATCACGGTCGTTGTTTTCAGCATTCTTGCAGCTTGCACCCTTTCCTGGCTTCTCTCCCCTTTTCCCTTGTTTTAAAGCAAGAAAGGTGAAACCCTATCGCCGTTTAGGCTAGGTCAAGGTAAGGGTAGTCATGGATTGGATCCCAGTTGAGGAGGTGCTCAAGCACTTGCCAGCAGTTGCTTTGTGGCGCGCGAGAGCCGTGTGCAAGAAATGGAAGGATCTCATAGAGACACCGGGATTTGCTGCTATTCACTACAGACAACACTTGAATCGTAGTCCTCCTCATGTTTTGGGTCAAGATCTGGATAGTGAAGGGCCTCTTTTCAGATGCAATCCCTTTGCGGGGCAAGAAGCAAGTGATTGGGTTCTCATGGAGCATAACATGGATCGTGTTTTGAACTCTAGCGGTGGTTTGATACTTGGGATGAGAGGAAAAGATTTTATGGTCTGGAATCCTCTCACTGGAGCATCTAAGATGCTCCCGCCACTTTGTTTGGATGGTGAACCATGTTCTAAGGAGACTGCAATGGGGATGGATTCCTTTGGACAGTGCTATTGGGCCTGTGTACTTAGAGAGGTGGAGCAAGGAGTCATGATTTATATATATGATTCAGGAAAAACAGGAATGTGGAACAAAGTTCTGGTGGATAGTGACACGTTATTTGATACAATTATTAGGGATAACAAATTATATGTATATTGCACAAGGTTTTCAGGGGATGTTGAAGTGTGGTGCCTAAATTTGTGTGATGGCAACTTATCTAATCTTGTGATAACACGGGACCATCGTGGCTATCGTATGACAGATGAATATTTTTGCTTTGATACCCTTGTAGTAACAGCAAAATCCTTATTTGTGACAACTGCAACCGAGTCTACATGTTACTTATTGAAACTGGATTCTACAGGTTTTGTTGAAGAAACTACTCATCAATGGAACGATATTGTGGAACCTGTATGTATGGCTTATAACAACATACTTTTGATTGCACATCCAGATTTTTTGGCTTTGTACAACTACCAAACAAAAACATGGAGAAGAAATGATATTCAAAGGGTTTGTAGGGGGTTTCAAAATATATTTGGGTTTGTGCTAGGATTATGCCATGTTTGATTTTGGCATGATTTTCAAGAATTTAAATCTATTCTAGTTTGGAAGTTTTTGGTTAAGCACAGGACATTCAGGAGAATAATTATCTCAGACAGCTTTCCAAATGAAAAAGCAAATGCAATCTAGAAAGAATAATTGTTCTTGGCTTGATCTTTCGTTTTTCTCGAAGGACCAAAATGTTCCCTCCGATAGACAAGGAAATGCTTTGAGAAGACAAACATAGTTTCGCGACTTTGAAAAGCTTCAACCCTCTCGGAGATCTGTTCGGGAAAGTTCCCGACGCAGCCATTGCTTTCCGGGGCGGGCTTTAAGGTCACTCCACACCTATTGGTATGTTCGGTTATTTTGAAACCCTAGGTTTTGCGACAGGCCATGGCTCACAATGGCAAGTGTGGAAAGTGCTTCATAGAGATGTTGCTCTGGTGCTGCACCTTGGCGCGAATCGCGTTGCGGTCCAAGCGAGGAACCGAAACCTTCAAAAAGAAAAAAGCTCGCCAGGGATACCCCAGTTTGGTTTTTCCGTCTTGGGCGCCTGGCGTCAAGACACCAATCATAGTTTTGATTTTCAAGCTTGGGCCTGCTGGCAAGCTGGAAGTATTTTTTTCCAGAGAAGAACTAGGGACTTGGTGGATGCAGTAAGTTCTCTCTCATTTTTTTCTTGGATCTATGAATACTCGACACACTTCCCATAATGTTCCAGGATAATCTCTACATTTTGCGCTTCTAACGCAGAGTTATTCAGAAATTCTTTGAGTTCTACCTGACTGGAAGAGATGTCCCCCAATTTATCCGTCCAAGAGCTTTGTTTCTCGTCCCTTTGCTCTAGGGATTATCCAATGCTTTTTTTAGTTGACAAACTTGTTTCCTTCTGCAATATCCAATCACGAAAAGGGGATTGAAGAATTTTAGTCGATCACTTTGAACTGTGCACGCATGAACTTGAAGTGGTCGTATTTGTGTTTTTCTCTCTCGATGAGTCGAAATCTAAATCCAAAACTATATCTCTAAGAAAATTCTGAGCTTAACTGATGCAGCGAATGCGAGCCTTCGTGCGTTTCGTGGTCTTTCTTGGGTACCATCACATTTTTGTGTAAGCAGAAAAACATTCCTTCCTTTAATTTCTAGAAACTTGACAAATGTATTAGTAGTCTAGGAAATCTAGTCAAGTTAAAAGTACAAACGCTTCGCCCCCTCACACAAGTGCTCATCACCTCATCTCAACAAGTAATAAAAATTCCCTTTTGATTTTTCCTGGAGATGCTCCACACTGGTGATTGATAGAGACCTCGGGCCTTCTTTCTACCTTTCAGGCAAGTCAAACAGGGAATCTCTCACTCCTCCATTTTCATAGATTGCCAAGACCCGACTGAGATTCGACCCAGCATTGTCAGGCGTGCGCTCCTGATTTGAGTGGAAACACGCCTTGCTGTGTGCTGCTGGTTAGTACGCTTTGACTCTCTGTAAGAGCATTTTACTTCCTTTTGCTCCGTAGTCACTTTGATTTCTTACCATCTAGTTTCATGCTGGCAGACTGAAGCCAGTGACTCGCTGTTTACGCCGAATCGGCAAAACCCGGTCTCCGAGGGGATAAAATCAAACCTCCTCTGCCAGACGGAGGATGATGAAGCAGCAGCATATCTCTATAACGAAAGCGAATTGGCTAGTAATGAAATTAGACTGCCCAGGGAAGCTATCAGAATGTCGTGGTATATGACAATCAGCATAAACACATCACCAAGCAGAACTGGGAAACCCGGAAAGAATTATCGGAAATAAACACCAAGTAAACATTCAATGCAAACGTTCAGGACAAAGCAGATCAGGGTCGGTCTGGGTCACCCTCCGTGATGAGGGGGTGTGAGCAATGCTAAGCTCACGCCCTTGCTCAAGAACAGGAGGAAGAAGACGAGATCCGTGCAGGGTTTTTTGGGCTAATGGATATGCACATTTCTGTATTCCCTTTCCATATTCCAAGCACTCACATCTTGATATATATAAATGTTTATAAAACTTTATATTTTAATTGAATATCTTTGTTAAGTAATTGTAGAAAAATCACAAAGAAATGAATAAAATCTTTAACATTCACTCTTATTCTATAATATGCTAATTCAATAGTAAAATATTTTACCATTTATCAAGATATTAAAGTATTACTTTTTTAGATTAAGATCTACATTACATTTTTTAAGTATAAAATAAATTAATAAAAATATCAAGTTAATATGCATAAAGGTAAATATATCCTTAATATTTTTTAAGAGCTAAGAGAAAGATTTTTAATATAAGATATATATTAGAGGAAAATTTTAATAAAATATTTTTCCATCATTATACAAAATTTTATATTTGTAATAATTTCTTGTGTTATATTTGCAACAACATTCAATTTTTATATTTATATTAAATTTGATTATTTTCTAAGTAGGTATAAGTTATTAATTATCTTTATTTTAGAACAATAAATTTTAAAGTATTTATTTTGTTAGAAATAAAATAGCAATTTTAATTTTTTTTACAATTTATAATAACACATATATATGTATATATATGTTTAACTTTTTATCACCAATAATTGTATTAAAAAAGGATCCCCAATCTAATCACAATTCTAATTTTCTTGCCATCCAAATGAGTGCATCTACATAATAATAATTATTATATAAAATAATACAAAAAACAATGGATTGGAAATTACATTCTAATGCACAAAGTATAAAAATTAATTACATTTAAGCCACCATAATTGATGCAAATATGAAGATCTTATATTTAAATAGTAGCAATTGTTTATAAAAGAGTGTTACATTTAAACTATTAATTTCATGAATCGAAATATAAAAGAATATTTATCCCTTGATACTAATAGACATATTTTTGGGTTATGCTTTGACATATTAAAGTATCAGTTAATACAAATAATTAGTCATTTTAGCATAAGTAAGGAATTTTTTGCTTAAAACAATTATGAAAGTAATTTAAAATTAATAAAATATTTTTGGTATGAAATATGAAATAATTCTTGATTTATTTAAATTTCTCTAAAAGTTTATGTTTTTGTCTTTGTTAAATAATTGTAAAAAACAAGAAAGAAATGAATAAAATTCTTAACATTCACTCTCATTCAGTAATATATTTATTCAATAGTAAAATATTCTTTCATAAAAATATTCACAAATATTCAAAAAATATAATAATTATAATAAAATTGTTATTATTAGTGCCATCCCATCTACACTGCAGTTTCCATAGAACATAGTTATAATCCAAACAAAGTGGTGGCAGAATTTTGGATACTCTAGTAATAAGCAGACCATAAATTCTTCTCCTTGCATCTCAAGTAAAAATTTAAAATAAGATCCAATTGGCAATGGATGAAACTTCTACCATAGATATCCTTATGGTGAAGGAGAATTTTTGGCTTTAAAATGACCTTTTATGACCATGATTTTTATGTTTGTACAAGCGAAGGACCTAGGTTGAGTGAACAAGCTTCCAAATGAACGAGTAGCAAATGCAATCTAGAAGAGCCGTCAAGGAGCTTGTGAGATCGCTACTTAGCACCAGATGGGAAGAGGATGGCTGCAAAGTCTTGGTGTGTTCTTGAACGGTCTCGGTTGATTGGAATAAGAAATTTTACTCGGGTTTTTCCACCTCGCAGAAGTGACTCTTCGCATCTCGTGGATCCGTTCGGGCTCCCCTTCTCGTTGTGCCTCTCGAGCCTTGCGCTCTAGCGACAACCATTTGGAGAACCTGATCGTAGAAAGAACTTGTCACGAGCTGATAGGATTGAAAGAAAGAAAACTCACCGTTTGATGGCTGTTCTATTCGTCTCGGCCGTCGCATCTTGGAACTTTCCAGTAACAAAGTTTGTCCGTGCCAATCGCTCGTCGAGAAGTTCCTGGCCGAGAGCTGCCAAGTTTTTGAGGTTCTCCGGCGTGGAGTTGTCCACTTCGGCCGCGGTCTTGGACAGTCTTGTTGTCTGTTATAACCATCGTTTGTAAGTTTGGATCTAACCAAAGTCGAGATAACTTGCCTGGACTCTGATCAAGTTCTTGTCGCAAAATCCAGTTTTAAACATGAGAGCGATGTTGTTGTCCATCATATCTGAGCTCGCGTCCAAGAGCATGTTGATGATCGGAGCACCATCTTTGTGTAGCACCCAGCCAAGAGCTCCCCATTTGGAAATCTCCTGGGCCTCGTAACTGAAAGGAAGAGTGCCGCATCCCAGTGAGAGCACCAAGCAGTCATTGAATCGCTGGAAAAAGAAAACCTTTCTAGATCAGATTCAAAGAGTTCACTTTTTTCAGCGAAAAGAACCGAACCTCGAGTAAAGTTCTCTTGGAATCCTTGAGTAGCTTGTTGGTTTGAGGATCCTTGAAGGCCTCGACTAGAGCAAGAAAAGTCTGCTCATATAAGACAAGAGAAACAAAATAAACAAAGGAAGAAAGAATTCTAGTTTTTTTAATGCGAACGAAGAACTTACAGGATTGTTCGCGACGAGACCTCCGTCTGTCAAATGGTACTCGGAATCCTCGCAGCTGAATCTCACTGGCGGGAAAAACGTGGGAGCCGCCGAGGTTCCACGAGCGATTTCTCGCAGCAAAGCGTTCTTGGTTGGATCCACTCGTCCCTGTCGAGACAAAAGGCTAAGCTCGAAAAAAAAATATCTAGATCGGCAAGAAGTTACAGCAGCTGTGGTGAAGAAGACTGGATTCTGGAGCCTCGTATCGAAAGCAGTGACGAGGAGCTCGGTCACGGTGTCTCGGATTCGCGTGTCTTTGAGATAGCTCTCGAGCAAATGCTCCAAGTTTGTTGGAGAGTACTTGGGACCAAACATAGCACGGATGGATGTCATGCTGAGGAAAGATAGATAAGATATGGACTACAGTTATCTTGCTATCTAGCGAAGAACAAGAACCACAAAGAAGAGAGATGATCTACAGTCCTGACATACCGATCTCTATTGAAGATGGTCTTGCAATTGTCGAGGTAGAACTTGTTGATACCTTTGGCCGTGAATAAGGGTCGTCGCTGCGCATCGGGGGCCGCGAGCATGATCGAGATCAAGCCGCCAGTGCTCGTCCCGGCGACTACATCGAAGTAGTCTGCGATTCGAGCGTCGGGGCCGTCCAGCTCCTGTGTGATCGACCCAAGATGAAATGAAAGATCTAGCAAAACAAGACATTGCTACTGCTCTAGTTATAACCTGGAGGCATTCCTCGAGGAAGATGAGGATCTGTGCTGGGATGAGGCCGCGCACGCCGCCCCCATCGATGCTGAGCACGCATTTGTGCTTGCCAAAGGCGCCCTCCGGAACTTCCTCCGGAACTTCCTCCATCCTATTCTCTCTTTCCAATGTAGACAGGGTGTTGTAGCGCATTTATTATTGGCGCTAGCAGTTATTAACAAAAGATTTTTAAACCTTACCAACTTGAATTATTATAATTCACCATTCCTAAAATTAAATCAATAAATTTGCTAGTGATCTTAATAATGAACCATCCAGTAAGAAACTGACACATTGTATGATATGATATATTGACTACTGGACAGCTGTGGAGAAAACCAAAAAACATACAAAACACATGTTCTACCTCCTTTTATAAACTTACTGTGAAGTGAAGTGATTTGTGATTGTCAATTCAAGGTGGAGGTACACCTCCAAAGGGAAGGTGTACTAGGTGGCACTTACCAAATTTGTAAAATATATAAAAAAAAATCATACAGTGTGTGTGAGTCATACCACTAAAAATAATATTTGTATGTAAATGTTTATATTATGCATTTTTTACAACACTTTAGCACCACATAAGAATATTTATTTGCCACAGAATTCATATTAATAGGGTGTCATGTATTTGTCATCTTATTATATTTATTTATTCACCATTACTGTCTATAGTAAAAATTGAACCTTAAATCTTTGGTAATGGGATTTGAATTCAAAATCTTCTATTAGACATCTAGGATAAGTATGAACCTATACCTAAATTAAGTTTTTGGATTATTTTGTGTTGTATCAAGTTTATAAAAATAAGGTTTTAAGGATAAAGTGTTTAACATATCTTTTTTGTTGCTTTAGTATTTTATTAGTAATTTTGTTGTCTTCCCTTTTTTTAATGACGAGTTCTTGATACTATGATATGCATTTGTAGCTTTAGTAAATTATTTAATATCAAAAATAGCTTCTTGTTTTTTAACTAAAGATTGGTATAATAGTAAAGTTTGATGACACATGGTCTAAATTCTGTAGCTTCGTCAACCAAATCAAGTTTAAAATTATTATACAGTCTGATCAATATTCCAGTTTAACTTCTTGAGATTAATCAAATCTTGGAATGCTTCTTTCCTGGTTCTCTATTTTGTAAAATTTTGATCTCTTTGTAAAACACTTCAACAACATATTTAGTAATATTAATCAAGAGGGTACTACCAATTGTAAATTGCAGCAATTGCCAAGGCTCCAAATTTATATTTACTTATGCATTGGAATTTCAAATGGTTGCTATTGATATTTTATGGGATGATACAACTTTTGAATAACATTTTTGCCTTGGTTTTCATGAGGATGCTAAAGAATTCGTGCCATTCTATTTAAATCTAACATTTTTCATGATTGCTTTTGATCTTTTTATTTACTATGGTAATCAATTGCAAGAACATCGATTGAAGTGTCATCATCAAACTTTTGTCCCTTGTCCAATAGCAATAATTTTGGAACAAGCAGTGCATGAGTAATGTGTACTTTGTACGTCAACATCTTTCTGAAAGCTATATATGAAAGTACTATTTATAAAACTATATAATGCCAACAGTAATACAATTTATTCATATATATTTCTTTAAAAATACAAACTTCTAATATATAGAAGATTGAAATGAAAAGATAAAGAAAGAAAACCATGGCTCTTTCATGCTCTATCTCCCCTATTAGAGTGCCTAAAAATTGAAATTATTATTGATCCAAACATAAATAAAATTTAAGCATTTCATTTTGTAAATTACTAAAGCAATGAACAAAGGCAACATGAAGATACTCAAGGTTGATGATATTGATGTGAGTTTTTTCCACTCATAGCAAACTACAAGAAAAGGTTGCATTCCACTCCATTAATACCTAACTTGTCCATTGCTTAAATGTCAATACATTCTTGTGGTAAACTTTGACTTTTTGTTTTTCATATGAAAAAATCTGATAAATAAAGAAGAGATGGCCAAAAACTTATATCTCTTTTGTTTTAAAATTCTCAAAAGCCCACTCTCAAGTTTCTTAATTTAGCTTCTAGTCCATCTAGAAGAAAGGATTGAGAGTAAAAGAAAAAAACTACATTCCTAGCTAGTGATTTGGATTGCCTCCAGAACAAAGGTTGTGGTAGCCATTGATGGGTGCTTGGGGTTGGTATTGGCAGTGCTAGGGCTTGCTGCAATTGCACTATATTGACTATAAAGGCATGACAATGTTGTGGTTGGGTGCTAGGGTAATTGTTGATGGCATTTCCATTGAGAGTGCTAAGGCATAGCTATAGTTGTGTTGTGGTGGTCATGGGGTGTGCTTGGTTGATGCACTAGCCATGGCAACGGCAGAGCATTATGAGCACAGTGGCAACCATGGCTGGGAGCTATTATTGGGTGTTAGAGGCACTTATAAGAAGGAAAAAACTGTAAGTGTATGTAATTTATACCTTTGCTTTTAAGTCATTTTTAAAATTTTGATTAAAAAATAAAACATTTATAGAAAGAAAGGGGTGCATAAAAAAAGAGCAAATTGAAGGCTAAGTAGTGTCTATATATAGAATTAAACTATAAACTACTTTTAGAAAAATAAATACTATATTATAACTACTATAGACAAAAACAAACTATATTATATCTAACAAGCTATGTTAAAAAGCAGTATATTATTTTAGTGGCTGATAAAAACTATATATAAACATAGTATTTTATTGGGGAATCTCTCACTTAGATTCATGCTATGTAATATCAGGTGGGGTTTTCAGAATGAGATTCATGTATAATACGCTTACTGTGGAATGAATATCAATAGTGGTATAAAGGATATAAGGCTAGATGGGAAATATATATGATAATGTTTTATGTCGGGCTGAAAGAAAAATGGAAGTTTTCATGATTCTTGTTAGGAATACATTTGTGCATGTCAAGTTTTTAATGGTTAATAGAGCATATGACGAGAATGCAAGTATATTTACTTTGCATCCAATGCTCCAAGCTGTGTTTGGACTTATGGGAAAATATACTATAAGATAGTAGATGAGTTAATAATAAAAGCTGATTTGGTCAATATTTCTTTTGAATATATTGGAATCAATTATGAGCTCAAAGTTCCTCTACAAAATACCATCTTTTGTTATCCATGTCACTTGAATCATTTGATTATCACACGTATAATACAAAGCTTAATGGGCTTAACAACAATATAAAAGATTGTTGGGTCTATGATCATTCATCATGACCATTTATCCAGTAGTAAGTAGTAGCTCCAAATGATGTCAAGAATGAGGAAAATTCTCTGGCCCCACACATTAATGTTACCATATCACAATGACAATCTCTTTGTTGCTCACACAAGATGTCCATTTTTCATTGACACTTGCTTTTAGCACAACAATCAATCAGTTGAGCATGAGCTAGGACACTTGACAATGCCTTCAGATACAGACGTATTTCATCAAATTAGTATTTAATTCCTCCAGATAAAAGATGTTCCTTGGCTGTCATATTACATGTATGCTACTATGATGCTTGAGCTGTGCTTGTTAAATACAAGTGCCACCATGATGCTCTGAGAAATCAGTAAATTTTCAGACCCAGAAATCACAGTGATGATATGTCAACTGGCTAAGCTAAGATCAAAATATTTGAGATTTATAAATAATATAAAAATAATAAATAACATATCTTCTTTAATTTAAATCAGATTTTTAATCCTGGTCAATGGAAATTCCATATTACAAGTTGGTCAACTATATGTAGAAAAATGTTTTTTAGCAAATGAGCTTTGCTAGGGTTTATCGCGGGGGAATAGAATGGGCGACAACGCTCTTCCCAATCGCTCCTTCAAGGAGCAGCGCTTCTGGGACGAATTCTTGGTGGCGCGCGACGGCCTCCCCTTCGAATGGTACGCGCAATGGTCGGATTTGTTCCCGCTGCTGGAGCGCCATTGCGGCCTCAATCCGCAGCTCAGCCCTCTCCCGGCCGTCTTGATTCCCGGCTGTGGCAATTCGGAGCTCTCGTCGGCCATGTATGATCACGGCTTCACGAATATCACCAACATCGATTTCTCGCGGAGTGTGATCATGGAGATGATGCGCAGAAACATCAGGGACAGGCCGATGATGTTCTGGAAGGTCATGGACATGACGGAAATGCAGGTAAAGCTATTTTCTTGCATCTCTTTTCTCGATCGAGCTGAGAGCAATGCCTTTTTATTTTTCTTTTCCTAGTTCTCGAATGATTCGTTCGACTACATTCTTGACAAAGGAGCACTGGATGCTGTGCTTGGACAGGCGGATGAAGATCACGCGTCCGGGAAACGTTTTCTCTCAGAGGTGCGTTTTCTTTTCCTTTCCATTTCGTTCTTCTTTCTTTTCTCGAGAGTGACAGTACTTTTGGATAGGTCAAAAGAGTGTTAAGGCCTTTGGGAAAGTATGCTTGCATCACCTTAGCCGAAAGTCACGTAATCGGTATGTGGAAGAATTACCTGTGTGTTTCGCTTTTCAAAGATCACGTTGTGTTTTATAGGATTGCTATTGTCAACGTTTCGACATGGTTGGCAAGTAGCTGTCTACCAAGTGCCGATTGCTCAGGCTTCGTCCAAGCTGAAGCCGCTGTTATTTGCTGCCACGAAAGAGACGACGAGCAATCTGTCCTTGATCTCTTATAATCTTTCGTCCGATCTCCATGTGAGTTTTTTTCTGAGTTTTTCTCTTATGAAAAAACCAACACCAATGTTTCCAGGCGCAAAATATCGCAGCGATAGAGAAGGAAAATGCGTTGAGAAGAAGAGGACCAGAGTTTCGTGACTTTGAAAAGCTCCAACCCTCTCGGAGATCTGTTCTAACTCTCGGGGGAACATTCAAAGCAATAGTTCTGGACGCCAAGATTGGACAGGCCGTCACGCCTGATGCGTGCGCTGTGTTTTTGGTGCCAAAGGTATGTTCGATTTCATTTCGAAAGCCTCCAAGATCTTTATACTTTTGCGACAGGCCAAGGCTCACGAGTGGCTCTATTCATCCGAGGAAGGACAATGGCAAGTGGTCGAAAGTGCCAAGGCCGCTCGGCTTATCATGGTAGGACTTGCTGACTATAAAACTTGCATCGATTCATCTGTCGGAAATAACCTGTGTTTCTTCTTTTCGGACAGGTTTACCTCGAAACTGACTGTCAGACCGCTACTGAACTTCAGGTATCCGTTTCCACTCACCTTGTGCATATTCCCACTTTCCAAATGGTCAGAACCTCCTGTCCCCGCTAGTGAGAGAGCTTGTACCATTAGATTGTGACTCAGGAGTACCGTAAGTTCCTCACTTCTCTTTCCCGCTTTTCCTTGTCGAGGTTTCTAACTCTTGGTTGCGAACATCTGCAGTTTCCTGCTGCCACACGATGGAGTTTGTAAAGGGACTCTGCTGGAGGAGGTAACAATACCGTGCATCGATTAACAAAGAGAAACCATTGACTTTTCTCTCCTTTGTTCAGATCGATTCTCCATTAACGGGTACCATGCTTGTAGAGGATGTTGTATCATCCGACAAAAAAAAGGCCTTCTTTCGACGCCTGTTCTTTAAACGTAATCCCAACCTCATCCAGTCGGAGGCTTTACTAACGCCAACGAATGGATTTCGACGCGTGGGTAGTAAAAAGAAAAACAAACATGGCAAAGAAACTGCAGCGCAGAGAAGACAAAGTACGTGGTATAGAAACTTCTTGACTTTAATCAAAGTGTAACTTTATTTTTTCTTGTTCTTGTGTTTGTTCCAGACACCACGGATGAGATGAAGGTAGATCACAGTTACTTGGCCAGTCCGTATCACGAAGGGATGGTGGCAGGCCTATCTTTGATCGCTACTAAGATTGAGTCATGCGTATCTTCCAAAGAACAGGCATGGCAATCAAAGTGTTTGCTATTTTCTGCTTGTGACAAAGAATTAATCCTCAACTACTAGTACAGATTCGTGTGATGATCGTTGGGCTTGGTGCTGGATTGCTCCCAATGTTTCTGTACAAGCATTTTCCCTTCAACAGCATTGAGGTGAAGTGTTCTCTTTGTTTTTTGTTACATGACAAAAGGTTTTTTCTTGTTTAAGGTAGTGGAGCTGGATCCGGTTGTTGCTGATTTGGCAAAGCGTCACTTTGGATTTGTGGAAGACGATCGCATGCAGGCATGAGAGTCCCCAATTTTTCTTTTTCTTCTTAACCAATATATTCTCTTACAGCTGAGACTTGGAGATGGATTAGCCGCTGTCGATGCTATAGCAAAACAAGAGGTATGAGTTGAAAGATCAAACTTGAAAGAAGAAACTCTCGAATATTTCTTATTTCAGATGGAAGAACAAGCTAACAGCGAGAACACTAGACATAAATTGCACATACTACTCATTGACGCTGATTCCTCCGATCCAAGGTTCTGTTCTCTCTTTTCTGTTGATATTTGTTGATAACTCCGTTGCAGTAATGGGCTAAGCTGCCCTCCAGAGGAATTCCTTCTCGAAACATTCCTCCGCAGTGCGAAAGCTGCTCTGGAACCCGAAGGAATCCTCGTCATAAACGTTGTTTCGCGGGCTCGTGAGCCTCACATACAAGCAGACCAGAGAATGTGTAAAGTAAGCTCGCTAGACTCTCGTTTCTGGTAGCAGTAAGAGCTTACAAGTTGTTCTTGCTTTGCAGATTTTTAGCGAAGTCTACAGCCTGCAAGTCGACGAAGACGTGAACCGGGTGGTGTTTGGATTGCCACAGCCGAGTAACCTGAGAGACTCCACCGCGATTTTTAACGCTGGAGTGCTGCTAAAGAAGGTCGCGGGCCAGTTTGCTTCGTGGGACAAAGGCCCCAACGTCAAGGACGTACTAAAGAAGATCAAGCGGATCAAGTGACTGTGAGAAGAAAAAGGTCTGGTTTTATTTTCTTTCCATCTTTTCTCATTCTCTCTGGGGGTTTTTGCGCGAGTTTTCTCTAGAGAAACGCACTGTACAGATGTACCATCGCTATACTTTTTTTGCAGACAAAGAGTCCTAAACGATGATCCTTGGTGTGTCATCGAAATCAAAGGAAAGATGGTTTTTTGTTCTCCTGCCAACTGCATGAGAAGATTCATCCGTGAATCTCTCAGAAAGCCACAGGAAAGATCGACAAGATTTAATCTGTGCATTGTGTGAATGAGCGACACGCACTGGAAATTAAATCGCGTGTAGCCCCAGAAAAGATGCACGAAAAAGCGAGAAGGATGAAGAATCTCTCCTACAGGAGATGAGATCTTTGTCCAGAGAAGAAGAGATGAAAGAAATCCCAGGACATTGCGAAAGGAGATTAGCAATGTAGCATTAGCTGAACGGGCAAAGCACACGCGATAGAATCTTCGCAGTACTAAATGCGCGAGAAAAAAAAGAGAGAGAAGAAGGCGCTGTGGCGTCCATCAGTCGAACAAGGCAGCGAACAACGCGCGAGAAATCGTTGTGGCATCCGCGTATAAGCGAGCCGCGAAGAAAGAGCGGCCCCTCAATGTTAAGATGCAAGAACCCTAAAATTGCAAAGCCCTAGAACTGACACACAATGCGGCAAAGAGGAGCGATCGCCAGCGGCGAAGTCGTGGTAGAGCTGGAGCTCGTCTTCCTCAGGCTGTCCGCGATCGATCTGTGCCAGGCCAGGTGCGTGTGCCGCGAATGGCGACGAGCAATTGACGATCCCATCTTCCGCAAAGGCTACGCTCTCTCCCACCGCTGCATCCCTCACCTCTTCCTTCGTCTCTCTGGATCCCTCCTCGTCAAGCCGCTCGACAGCTCCCCTCGCAACGAGTGGCGCCACTTCCAGACGCTCCCCAACGACATGACCATCGCCAACAGCGACGCGGGCTTGCTGTGCCTGGCCACGTTTGAGGACTGGTTGACGCTATCCTCTATCTTCGTGTGGCGCTACAGCGATCTCAACTCCTCCCCGGTGAGAGTTCCTTTGCCGCCAGAGACCGGCCCTAACATGCGCTTGAGGGTGTACCGCCGCGAGAGGGATCGATCGACGCGAGAGTATTGCGTCGCTAGCTTCGGGCAATTGCGCGCCTTCTACATCTACGACTCGGCCTCGGGCGAGTGGTCCTTGCGCGAGAACAAACACTACCCAGACACAGGGGACATGGAGGACGGGTATGGTTTCTATCCGATGCTGGATCACGGGGAGGTGGCGATGCTTGGCACGGATGCCTTAATGAGATACAACTTGTGGGATGATTCCTGGCGCATTCTCAAGCTTGATTCCGACGAGTTGGAGTTCGAATGGTGGTGGTCCTTTCTTCAGCTGGATCGGGATCGGCTGTTCGTGGTTAGTAATGAGTTGCAGGCGGAAGATCACGAGGGGCTGGTTGTCGCAGAGAGGCGGGGAGAGAAGTGGGAGATTGTTTCGAGCCGTGATGAGGAGTTTGATGATTTGGAGGCGTGCACTGTTTGCACTGATGGGAGCAACAGTATATGGCTGCTTGACGGGGATAACTCACGGATTGTGCACTTTGGAGTCGATTCCAAGAGCTGGTCAGTGGAGGAGGCGCCCAAGGCTGTGCCAGGTTTCGTGGACTTTGCTTGGTTCTCTTGTTAGTGCTGAAAATCGGGAGTTCTTTCTCGAAGAAGATCCAGGGCTCTGCTGTGAGCTAATGCTGTGATGATAGGCATCGTTGTTAGAATGGTGGTGAATGAACAAGGTGGTAAATCACTACTTTGCAAAAAACAAGATTGAGCATGTTTGTGACACGGAAGAAAAGTGTGCAGAAGCTCTTGATCAGTGCCCCGAGCCAAATCGTTGTGGCATCCGCGAAGAAAGCGGTGGTGCCTCAATGTTAAGATGCAAGAACCCTAAAATCAAAAGAATCATGAAGCAAGAAACTTAAATAACAAATTTATTTGATGTTAAGATAACATCACTTTATCATGAGAAACTTCACTCACTTGCTGCTACAACACTGGAGGAATCCACCGTTGTTCTGCACACACTTGTTAATCAGTACTGAGGTATAACGATACTGGCCATTGCCATAGCACTGGGCATTGATGGAAGCAGCACTTGGAGCTGGAGGAAGGTACCACGGGGTGATCACTACATTCTGGCACGAGGCACTAAAGTTTCTGCCACAGTTGAGGGTGCCTCCCTTGTGGAGCTGGCCATTGGGCTTGTAACAATTGGCAGTCAATGTTGTGCCGCTTATAACCTCCGAGTTCTTGTCACAGGTATCCTCAAAGTTGCATGCCTGCATCAAAACCAGATTGAGTCTGATTAGCTATAGTTCTAGTATGGGCATTTGCAACAAACTAATAGTTGCTTGTCCCTGCAAGCGCTACAAGAGCAAAGACTAAGCAGATAATAAACTGTGAAGGCATGATAGAATGCGAGTTGTAGAGATTGTGGGTTGTCATCCCACTGTTGGACTTTTATACTGGCAAATGAGAAATTCCAACACGGAAGTGCAAGTAGCTCAACCAAGCTCTTTAGATTTTCCTTAAGGAAAAGAGGGTTGATGGTTAAAGTTTATAATTTTTCACCAATCCTTCAAAATAATATCTAATTAATAAATCTTGCTATTTAATAAACGAGATACGTTTATGAACTGGAAAGCATTGTAGAGAAATAACTCGTCCTCATTACCTAGACAATTTGCTACAAACAACAGTCCATTATATGCTCCATCCCTGTGCTCTAGATTCAGCCAAGCCCTTCCATTTATGCACTAGGTTTATCGTTAAAAAAATATTCAATAAGAATGTTCAGTATTAGATCAAAGTTAAGTAAAGCATTAAACTCACAGCTGGTGACTTTGATGGAGAGGTTGCTGTGGATGAGGCCTGGGGGGAGTAAAACTTCAAAGCTCATCCAGATAATTAGAGTATGTTGTTTATGATAAAGGTCTGGACAGGTCAAAAGAGTGTCCAGGCCTTTGGGAAAGTATGCTTGCATCACCTTAGCCGAATGTCACGTAATCAGTATGTGGAAGAATTAGCCGTGTGTTTCGTTTTTCAAAGATCACGTATAGGATTGCTATTATCAACGTTTCGACATGGTTGGCAAGTAGCTGTCTACCAAGTGCCGATTGCTCAGGCTTCGTCCAAGCTGAAGCCACTGTTATTCGCTGCCACGAAAGAGACGCTGGTGGCCACGGCCATGACCATGTGCCCTGTTTTCTCAGATCATTATCATGGTATCAGATTGTAGATCCTGATGGTTCACCATGCTAGGAGAGACTTGTGCTTTCTGATCAACAACTGCCGACTACATAGAGTATGGAACATGACGAGCAGTAGTGCTGCTGCCAATGCATTGGAGCAGTGTTTAATCTCTTTGTATAAGGGAGGTTTTGCAAATTGGGCTGCCCCCCTGAAGGTTGTTTTTTTGGTGTGATAATTGCAATGGGATTGTTGCAAGCAAAGAACTTGAACCAGCCCAAGGTGCTCCTGAATTAGCAGGTTGGAAGCTGCACAACAAGCGAACCCTATCAATAATGGGTATTAGTGAGTAGCATATTCATCTTCTTGATTTTGATAACAATGCTCCAATAAATTGAACCAATCTAACTCAGTTTCTTGGTGCTCAAACTGTTGAACATGTGGTCACATTGAAGTGCGAGTTCTTCACTTTAAAGATGGATCCCTAATTGCCTGTTGAGAAGTTTATCAATGACATTCTCTACTATGAGAAGAAAATTGGGGATCCATCTTTAAAAGTGAAGAATTCACCCTTCAACGTGACCACATGTTCAACTGTTTGAGCACCAAGAAACTGGGTTAGATTGGTTTAATTTGTAGGAGCTTATCAAGATCAAGAAGATGAATATACTATTTGCCTAAACCAATACCTATTGTTGTTAGGATTGTGCAGCTTCCAATCTGCTAATTTAGGAGCACCTTGGGCTAGTTCAGGTTCTTTGCCTGCGACAATCCCATCGCAATTATCACACAAGAAAACAACCTTCAGGAGGGCAGCCCAATTTGCAAAATCTCCCTTTGTACAAAGGGATTTAAACATTGCTCCAATGCACTGGCAGCAGCACTACTGCTTGCCATCTTCTGCCATACTCTGTGTAGTTAGTGGTTGTTGATCAGAAAGCACACTAGCATGGTGAACCATCAGGATCTACAATCTGATACCATGATAATGATCTGAGGAGACACTAATGAGAGAGAAAACAGGGTACATGGTCATGGTCGTTGGCCACCAACATCTGAACCACCCCTGTGCCACGTGGCAGAAGCGTGACTCTGACTTGGATCGTGTTCTAAACTCTAGTGGTGGTTTGTTACCTGGGATGAGAAGAGAAGATTTTATGATCTGGAATCCTCTCACTGGAGTGTCCAAGATTCTCCCACCATGGGTCTTCGACTACATTCTTAGAACACTACAATGGGAGTAGACTTGTCTGGAAAGTGCTATTGGGTCTGTGTAGTCAAGACAACCTAAATTTACATATACAATTCAGGTGCCTGATCTTACCTGCGAAAGTTTGCTCGATAGAACTATCAAGGATAACAATTTATATAGGTAACTTATTTAATCTGTATGATGATGGTCGTCATCATATGGCTGATGGTATAATTGTATGGATCTCCTTGTTGAATCTTTTTCTGTTACAATGTTATTTGATCATAAAGGTTATGCTCAAGAAACTATTCATCTGGTTATAATTCTTATTGAATTTTTGGCTAAAAAATTAGCAGTCGATTGTAAAAAAGTCCCAAACGGAATTGACTTATTTATTTAATCATCAAGTAAACTCCAATTTATAAACCAGGTTAAGTTTAATTGGAATATTACTTTGAATCCTAAAGATGGCGACACCAGCAGCTCCAATCTTTAGCTCAGAAAATCGTGCCATTCACAAGCTCGTCCAGGAGATCCCACAAAATGAATATCTCTTGCTTTTCCTTCCTTTCATCCGACGCGAAGATCAGCAATCTGCGAGTTGATGCTCTCAATGTTGGAGTCGAGAAACTTTGCTCGTCTTATCAAAATATCCAGAGTTTCGAGCGGAGGCCAATTTCGCAAGCCGTGGTCCCTCCACTTCTATCTCTCACGCGTTCTACAAATCCAAAACTGACATCAGAGAAGAACACGATGAAGAATTCGAGGTCCATCTCCCGCTGCTGACCGAAGTCTAGAAGCCCAAGGTGACGTAAGTTTACATGAATGTCTTGTGCTGATTCTGGGATATGGTGAAGATCTCGAGCATGAGCGCTTGATGGCAAGATTTTCGGAATTAGAAGTCGAAGAAGCGGCAGCAGCTGCTAAAGAGTTGGAGGACGAGTATGATCAAGATGGTTTTTTCCGAGCATGATCAAGATGGTTTCTTCCGAGCTGAAAGGACCTCCATGTAAGTTTTTGAGCTTCGATTGTTTTGTTCAAAAAGTCTCTGATAAAACTTCTCTTTTCTTTTTCCAGTTTGAGATGTGGAAGCGAAAGACTTGGAACACGACGTCTCGACTGCTCCAGATCGTCCCGAGAAGCGAAATCACGACCAGAAAGCCGAAAAGCGAGTCACTTGATCTTCCGGAGACCGATATTATCTATACAAAACAAGGGGAAAGAGGCTATGGATCCAAAGAGCCGACGAAGCTCGCAGCAGGAACTATCAAAGGTAAATTCGTAGAGCTCAAGAAAATATCTCAGAAACATGTTTTTTGTTTCCAGGTTTTTGTCTCTGTCGTCGATCGAGCACCAGGGGACGCTGTTCTTGAGCTGCGACCAATCCAGGTACCCGAAAGCACCTCCATGCCAATGTCTAGGTTCAAGCAAAGACATGGTGGGTGAAAAATCGCAGAGTTTTTATTTGTTTTGGATGAGAAAATTCCCAAGGTGAGAAGTTTTTTCTTCCAGAAAAGATGTGAGATTACTTGAAAGATGTGAATGTTGAGCTTACAGGAGTGTCTTGCGAGCCTCAAGTCGTGTCGAACACTCTCAAGCGTGAGAGAGCAGCACAAGCAAGTAAAATCCAAGCTTGACCTCGAGAACGATCGCAATCTCTACAGCCGCATTTCCAACACGCTGATCGAGATGTATGGGAAGTGTGGCAGCGCCGACGATGCCCGCAAAGTTTTTGCATCGATGCCCGAGAGCTCCAGATCTCCCTTCACGCTCTTCTCCATGCTGGTAGCGTTTGCTCGCAATGGACACCTCCGGGAGGCCAAGGAGCTCTTTGACGAGATGCCCGAGAAGGAGCTAAGCGCCTGGAGCGCGCTCATGTCGGCGTATGCCCGATCGGGGCATATGGACGAGGCGAAAACACTCTTCGATCGAATGCCCGAGAGGGACGTGATCTCCTGGACTGCGATGCTCAATGCCTACACGGAGAACTCGTTAGTCGAGGAAGCGAAGAAGATCTTCGATGAGATGCCTGTGAGAGACGTCGTGTCGTGGACTGGATTGCTCGTCGCGTATGCCCAAACCGGCTATGTGATAGAAGCGAGGAGAGTGTTTGAATCCATGCCCGAGTGGGACACTGTATCCGCGAATGCGATGATCACTGCGTATGCATCGATCCAAAACGTTAGCGAGGCGAGGAAGATCTTTGAGATCTTACCAGCGAAGGATCTTGTGTCGTGGAACGCCACGATCGCTGCGTATGCCCAAAACGGGTATATGATCGAGGCCAAGGCGCTGTTTGATTCCATGCCCGAGCGCAATGCCATCTCCGTGACCACGATGCTGTCGACATACGCGCAGGATCGCAAGCTCAACCTCGCCAAGAGCCTGTTTGATTCGATGGAGGAGCGAAGCACAGCGTCATGGAATGCGATGCTCGCGGCCTATGCTCAAAACGGTCATCTCGAGGAGGCCAAGATCATCTTTGACACGGTCCCTGAGCGATGCGTGGTGTCCTGGAACGCGATGGTCTCAGGCTACGCGCAGAACGATCGCCTGGAAGAAGCCCGGGAGCTCTTCGATCGAATGCCGGGCAGAAATATCTCGTCGTGGAACGCGATGCTAGCGGCATACGCCCAGCACAGGGACGTGATCCACGCCAAGCACCTGTTCTTCGCAGAGATCCCCGACCGCGGCCCCGCGGCATGGATGTGCCTGATCCTCGTCCACACCTACACTGGCCAGATCGATCGCGCGGACAAGATCCTGGCGACAATGCCGGATCCCAGCGCCGTGGCTTGCAATGCCGTGCTGGTGGCCTACTCCCAGATCGCCCGCTTCGATCGCGCCGCGGAGATCTTCGTGTTGATGCATCTGGAAGATTGCGGCGCTGATGAGACGAGCTTCACATGCCTTCTCCTGGGATGTAGCCACAGCGGCGACATTTCGAGGGCGCGATCGATCTTCCAGTCCCTGGCCCTGGATTTCGCCAAGATCGCGCGGAAGCAGCACTACTGCGGGATGATCGATGTGCTGAGCCGTGCCGGGCACCTGTGTGACGCGCAAGAGCTCCTGGAGACTATGCCTTACGAGCCCGATGCCGCCGATTGGAGATCTCTGCTCAAGAACCACAAGAGAAGAGGACGATGTAGCAGCAGTAGTGATTCACGCGAAGATGTGGATGAATCCAGCAGCGCTGTGAGAGGAGTCCTCGTGCCAAGGGACGCGCAGGGGTATATTCTCCTTGCCAACATGTTTGCTCATTAGGAGAATATTCTATAAAATTTTAGCCGCTTCGGTACAGTACTCCATGTCCACCACCAGCCAGTCGCTACCATCTCCAGTGGCTTGCAGCTGAATGGAGGTGCGTAGCCATGCGCCGCCCACTGCGTGTGCACCTCGACACCATATCTCTGGACAAACTTGACGATGCACTTGGAAGCAGGACGTAGCAACGAGAAGAGCAGCATCTTCTCCCTTCGCTGGCTAGCCTGAAACCCAGGGTGTCAGTACTGAGTAACCGATGCACCCTGGGCATGCTCGTCTCTGATCAACTCCGGCCAGCTGATGCTCGGATCACTCGACGAGCGTTTGCCTGCCGTAGAAGGCCACCAGAGAAGAAACAGCCAGCCCGATAGACGCAAGAGCCTTGGAGAGCCGCTCCAAGTGTTGGCGGTCTTTCTCCAAGGCCAAGCTCCGGCTTGATCTCAGCAAGCATGACGAGAATCCATTCGCTCATGATCAGAGCTTCGACCTTGATATCAGGTTCCGCATCAAACCCACGACTGGAGACTCCGTGACCCTCAAAGTAACGTTAGGAATCGTGCTCCTCAAATACTTAAGCAGCATCTCTGCGAAAGCAGCTTGGCGTTGCCACTTGTCATCGAAGAACTTGCTCATCTCCATGGCACTGTGGACGAAACTCCAGTCGACCGCGTCTGGCACACAGTGCTTGAGGTAGCCCCGGAACGGCTCGTTGCCATAGGCAGGGGCACTGCGCTAGCGGATATGCGACCCACCATGTACCAGGGGTCATCCTGTTCCTGCGCAAAGAGATTGAGTGTCTATTTAGGATCTGCCTTACCGTGTAGACATGAGCAGCCCTGAGACATAGTCAACGCCCCTGGAGCCTGACATAGTCCTTGTATCCATCTCCATCGAGGAACCATCCGCTACGTTGGACGTGGTAAAAATCAAACCCTAAATGCTAAACATTTTTTAAAGTTTTAAACATATTTAAAATCATTTAAACACAATTTAAAATAAATGCTTTTAAACATGAGGATATCCATTGACTTGATAATGTTTAAAGGCACGTTTCATTTTTAAAAGCTTCCAATCACATTTAAAATATTTTCATCATGTTTAAATGTTTAAACCTTTTTCTTTTTAGCATGATTAAAAAATTTAAACCCTGGTGTTTTTAGGGCTCTTGGGGATCCAGATCTATAGGCGCTCACAGGAATCCAAATGCGATCGCTGCTCCACGCCAAGGATGAAGAGCTCGTCGGATCGGCCGACAGGTACTGCCATTTCCCTTGCTCCGATTCCCCTCCTCCTCCTCCTCCTGTGCTCTTCGATCGGGAGCGGCAGCAGCCAGGGCTGCTCCAAGGACAGCCCTCTCGTCGGATTCTCGGCCGATCTCGGCATGATCCAGCACCAGCTGCGCGGCCGCGTGACCATCCTCGACGACTGTAGCTTCCGCGTCACGGGATTCGACATGATCCAGGGCTCGCCCCACGTCTGCTGGTGGGGATCTCTGGGCGAGGATTTTCGCAACCTCACGCAGGGATTCCCAGTCTCGGCCGCGTCGCTCAACCACACTCTCCTCAGCGACGACATGGAATTCCAGCTCCTGGAGAATGTGACTTGGGAAAAAATCCAAGTCCTCGCTGTCTGGGACGAGATCACAGCCTCGGACTTTGGTCACGTAGTTCTCGACTCGAGCTGGAAGAATTCGAGCTCTTCTTCTTCCTCGCAAAGAAAGGTTCCAGCCACAGTCTTGGAGAATTGCGTGGAGCTTAGCCCGCTATACAGGCTAAGGTGGAGCTTGCTTCCAGGGAATTCTAGCTCGCTTCCAGGGAATGGTTCTTCGGTGGATATAGCGCTCGAGGCAGTGGTGCCGGAGACGAAGTATATGGCGTTTGGATGGGCGATGCCAGGGAAAGAGAACTACTTGATGATGAACGCGGACGTGGTGGTGGCGGGGTTTAAGAACAGGGACACACCCTTCGCGGAGGACTACTACATCAGCAAGTATAGCGAATGCAACTGGGACTTTCAGAATCCATCCGGTGTGTGTCCCGACGTTGTTTACGACAGTAGCAGCGACAACAGCACCACTGTGCTTGTCCACGGCCAGCACGTAGATGGGGTAGCGTTCGTCCGCTACAACAGGCCGCTGTATAGCTCCGACACCAAGCTCGACGTCTCGATCGCTCCCAGCGCCAACATGACTGTGATATGGGCGCTCGGTCCGCTCAAGCCGCCGGACAGCTTGCAGCCGTTTTACTGGCCGCAGAACCACGGTGGTCCGGGGAGAGTCTCGTTTGGACACGTAAACTTGGTTCTCTCCGAGGCTGTGAATCAGTGCTCGGGCCCCCTGGTGGCGACGGAAGCCGAGCCGACGATCGACGTGATTGTAGCGGACAGAGGCTCTCCGCTCGTGGTTACGTCGGAGGAAGCGGCACACTATCCGAATCCGCCCAGCCCGACCAAAGTTCTTCACATCAACAAGAAGGAGGCTCCCATTGTCCAAGTTGAGAGGGGCGTTCCAGTGATTTTTTCCATACAAGCGGGTCACGACGTCGCGTTCTACATCACCTCGGACCCCGTTGGAGGGGCGACAAATCCAAACGAGACCATTTTTGCGGGTGGCCCGGATGCTCACGGAGTGTTGTCCCATCCGTTGGCTTTGAGCTGGCTTCCAAACAGGACGACGCCGGACGAAGTATACTACCAGGCTTTCTTCGAGAAGAAGATGGGATGGAAAATCCAGGTGGTGGATGGCGGACTCTCGGACATGTACAATAGCAGCGTCGTTTTGGCCGAGCAACAGGTGACGGTTTTTTGGACGACGAGTGGCACGAACATATCGTTCGCGGTGAGAGGCGAGCGAAAGAGCGGCTATCTCGCGATATCCTTTGGCAGAGGGATGGTGAACTCGTTCGCCTACGTAGGTTGGGTAGGGGCGGACGGGACTGGATACGTGAAAAGCTACTGGATCGACGGCAGGGACGCGTCAAACATTCATCAAACAAGCGAGGAGCTGTGGGACAGGAGGTGCTCGTCCGAGAAGGGTGCAGTGACTTTCGAGTTCACCCGGAGCTTGCAACCGCGGTGCTCGTCGGACAACGACAGGGCCTGCAAGAAGAACGTCGTGGATCCATCGGTGCCGCTGAGGATCGTCTGGGCGATGGGATCAAAGTGGGACGCAAACTTCCCGTCGGACAGAAACATGCACGACAGAACGAGCAGGAAAGCAACGGTGATCTACCTGGAGAAAGGCGCGGCCGAGGCGGACGAAGAAGTGAAGCCCGTTCTCGTCGTCCACGGGTTTATGATGTTCCTGGCCTGGGCGGTCTTGTTCCCGGGAGGCGTGGTAGCGGCAAGGTATCTCAAACACTTGGAGAACAACGTTTGGTTCCAGGCACACACTTATCTCCAGTACTCGGGCGTCACCGTGATGCTGCTAGCCTTCCTGTTCGCGGCTGCCGAGCTCCGGGGCCTCCACACAGAGACGGTGCACGTAAAGCTGGGACTTTTCAGCATTCTCCTGGCTTGCTTCCAGCCGGTGAATGCGTTCTTCCGCCCCGCAAAGTCTCCGCCGGGCCAGCAGCAGCACAAGCTGAGGATGATTTGGGAGTACTTGCACGTCTACTCGGGGAGGGGCGTGCTGGTTTTTGGGCTCGTCACTTTGGCCTCGGGGATGTCTCTACTGGCGGATATCTATGGGAGCGAGCACGTCCGGGGCTTTGAGTGGGCCTTGCTCGGCTGGGTGTTCATGGTCTCTGGGATCATTGGCTACTTGGAGCTGAGACAGTTTTGGAACAAGGGAAAAGCTCGAGAGGCTCCCCCGGCGTGGGACGCGGATGGGCGATCGGTTCACGTCCTGGACGACAGTGATGAGGAGCGCGAAGATGACTCTGCGGGCTTGCTGGTGAATGGAAACTCGCGGCACGAGTTCCCAGCGGCATCGAGAGGGATGGAAGTCCAGCTAGAAGCATTCCATTGATGTGCTGAGTATATATATAACTTGGGATTACAGGATAGTCTGGAATTCTCAACAAAAATCTTTGTTAGTCTGTAGTCTGAAAATCAATTTTAAACAAAATTCAACTTTAGTCAACGATTTGCGTTAAACATTCTAAAAGTATTTCAAAGAATTTAATTCTTTGTTTGTTTTATAATATGCTATCGTCACCATGAAGTCTCTGTGTCCATCTGTTTTGAACATTCCAACGCTCTCCTGTGACCAAAGCTTGTCTCATGGCACCTTGGTTCTCCTTTGCAAATCCCTTCTCTGCAAATCTTTTCTCCACAAATCCCTTTATAAATATATTCACGAAAGGTGATATCTTCATATCATCTTCAAGATCCAGGAGGAACTTCCCAAAGCTCTATCGAGCAAGGCAATTGGGACAGTGTGGGATGGAACTGATATATCCTCACAAATGTTAGATTGGAAAATTGGATGATATAGCTTGGGAAGATTTTCTTCATCACCCTCCTCTTGTTCTTTTCCCAACAATTGCCTACTACCTTACAACAGCAACAATACCAAGTTGATATTCAACCTTCGACAAGTGTAAACAATTTGTCTTGAGGACAAGACCATATTCAGTCATGGGAAGAAAATTGTACAAACAAAGAAGAGACAACATTTTACAAAGATGTGCAAACCTAGAAAAAACATAAGATCTACTTGAAGAAGTTTACTGTGGACAAGTAAGAGGACATTTTGCTGAAGAAATCACATCTCATAGTTCACAAACCCTTGGATATATCTCCTCCTCAGCAGAGCCATGAACCTTTGCGAGAGAAGCCTCGCAGTGCCAGAGCTGCCACAGGTCATGGCTATGGCCAGCATAAGGTGAGTGTTTTCGTTTTTTCTCCTTTCTTGCTCTTTTCTTTTTGTTTGTTGTTAGCTGTTAGTCACAGGGAGAGTGCTATAGCCTCCTCACAGCTAGCATTATGGCAAGGTGAGGAACACAACCAGGGTAGATAAGAATTTCCTCTTAAGGTGTCTTCTTTTCTCCAGAGCTTAG